CCATCCTATGAAACATTCTCTACAGCGGTTCGAGCCACAAAGCCAGCACCCGTCTTTCGTGATCTCGTTACGCAAGCAGAAAGCCACGAGTTATTTTTGCAATCCATCCATGGTGCTCCTACTCCTCTGGCTGCTTTTTATGTGCAACAAAACCAATCATTTCCCGGTCGGGGTCGTTCCACCTCTTACCGTGGGAACAACTCTCGAGGTGGCAGGGGGCATGGTCAAGGGAGACGACCTCCTCATTGTCAACTCTGCAGAAACAATGGACATTATGCGTCTTCCTGTCCAAATCTCCACACCTATGCCAGTCAAGTTGCTCCCTCGGATGAATCTTTATCGAAGGCTTTCCATGCCCAATGTCATGTCACCACCAACACTCCTGATTGGCATGTTGATTCCGGGGCCACTGCTCATATGACCCCCAATCGTGAAACCTTACATCACTCAGCAACATACCAAGGTAACAATGAAGTAATCTTTGGAAATGGCAAGAAGCTTCCCATCACTCATACATGTTCTTCTATTATATCAAAAATCATTCCTTTAAGTGATGTTCTTGTCATTCCTAATCTTACAAAAAAACGTATTATCTGCGAGCAAGCTTACCAAGGACTATCCTGTTGATGTCCTTTTCTCTCAACCTTTTTTTACAATTCAGGATCGGAAAACAAAACGGGTACTTGCTAAAGGAAGCTGTGAAAATGGTCTCTATGTGTTGAAGGATGAAACTGAAACCTTGGTTGCTACCTCTAGAGTTTCCACTCGAGCTTCTTATGAATTATGGCATGCTCGTTTAGGCCACGTGTCTTTTGATATTATTTCCCATTTAAATAAGTTAGGTTTTTTTGTCTATTACTTCATTGTTACCAAAACCAATTGTTTGCACTGCTTGTCAACTTGCAAAATGGCAATGTTTATCTTTTAATCTAAATTACAAACGTTCATCTTAACCTTTAGACCTAATACATTGTGATTTATGGGGACCAGCTCCCGTTTGTTCTAAAGATGGTTATCGCTATTATGTTGCATTTATTGATGATTACTCCAGGTTTACGTGGTTCTACCCACTTAAAACCAAAATGGGTTTTTATTCGATCCTACCTGCTTTTATTAATCTTGTTCAAACTCAATGTTCGAGAAAGATAAAGGTGTTTCAAAGCGATGGTGGCACGGAATTTGTGAATCACACAGTCCGAAATGTTTTTGAAGACAATGACACACTTCATAGGTTTTTGTGTCCGTACACACCTTAGCAAAACGGTCGAGCGGAACGAAAACATAGGCATATTGTGGAAACTAGTTTAGCAATGTTGTTTAATGCTAAAGTTCCTGCATGTTATTGGGTTGATGTATTTACCACAACTACATTCATAATTAATTGTTTACCTACTCCATTATTGGCAAACCAATCACCATTTCGCATGATCTTCAATCAAGACCCACAATATGCCAACTTTCGTACATATGGATGTCAGGTATTCCCTTAGTTGCGTGACTATTCCAAACACAAATTTGAACCTCGAAGCATCACATGTGTGTTTATTGGTTATAGTCAGCAACATAAAGGGTACAGGTGTCTCGATCCAGCATCTTCTCGTATCTACATCACTCGACATGCACGATTTAATAAGCAAGTGTTCCCGTTTCATGGTGCATCTCTTGACCCAAATTTATCTCAATTAACTCTTACGAATTTTCTTGAAGAACTTCCAAAGTCTTCATCATCTCTTGATGTGCCAACTAGTCTTACTCCACCTGCCAAAGCTAATGAGCATACTACCAAATCATCACCTTGTGCTCTTTGTAAGCCACCAGACGAACATCGAGACCCACATGCCACTCTTTTACCTGAACAGGTCCATACGGATGCAACTTATCCTTCTCCATCTGTTTCGTCTACTAAAGCCCCTGCTGACCAGACTCCTGTTTCATCTGATCATCCGGTTCCAAGCACATCATCGCCTATTCCATCACCTGAATCTTCTGTATCGAGTCATCTAATGATTACCAGGTCCAAGGCTGGTATTTTTCGACCGAAACATCAGGTTGATCTAGCTTCCCTCGCTACTAACTCTCTTCATGTTGCATTAATATCGACAACCGAACCCAAAAGTTTTAAAACGGCATCCAAAGATCCAAAATGGATGGCTGCCATGAACGAAGAATTTGAGGCTTTGCAACAGAATAACACGTGGACCTTAGTACCATGTCCTGGTCTTATCAACATTGTAGGGTCCAAATGGGTCTATCACATCAAATACCACTCAGACGTAACCATCGAACGCTACAAAGCTAGATTATTTGCCCAAGGATATACTCAAATCTCGGGTCTCAACTACCCTCTCACATTTAGTCCGGTTGTCAAAGCATCCACAATGCGAATTGTCATTACACTTTCCGTCTTGAATAATTGGAAGCTACATCAACTAGATGTCAAAAACGCGTTCTTAAATGGTAACTTAACTGAGACGGTCTTCATGGAACAACCTCCGGGCTTCATCAACCCTCAGTTCCCAAATCATGTGTGCAAATTATCCAAGGCATTATATGGATTAAAGCAGGCACCACGTGCATGGTTTAAACGCTAAAGCACATTTCTTATTTCTTATGGTTTTATATGCAGCCGTGCATACACTTCTCTCTTTATTTTTCTCAAAGACTCATGCATTATGTACTTACTGGTTTATGTCGATGATCTCATTCTTACGGGAAACAATGAATCTGCCATTGCCACCTTTATCTCTCGTCTCAATCACGAATTTTCCATAAAAGACCTTGGGGAACTAAATTACTTCCTTGGCCTTGAAGTTGCCTACACGGACAACGGTCTCTTCCTTTCACAGACAAAATATGCTCGAGAGATTCTCATCCGGGCTGAACTTTTGGACTCCAAACCTGTCAGTACACCTTTGGCTCCACAAAAATCCTTCACAATGGATGGCCTGCCCTATTCTAATCCTACTCTCTATAGGTCGTTAGTTGGAGCTCTTCAATACTTAACCATAACTAGACCAGACTTATCTTATGACGTTAATCAAGTCTCTCAGTTCCTTCATGCTCCAACCATCGATCATTTCCAAGCTGTTGAGAGAATACTTCGTTATGTTAAAGGCACCATTTCCTTTGGTCTAACTTATAGTCGTCCTCACAAAGCTTCTGTCGTCGGCTACTCTGATGCTGATTGGGCTCGCTGTCTTGAAACACATCACTCTACTTATGGTTATTCGGTGTTTCTTGGTGGAAATCTTGTTTCCTGGAGTGCCAAGAAACAGCCAACGGTCTCCAGGTCCAGTTGTGAATCCGAGTATAGGGCAATGGCAAACACGGCTGCATAAATTGTTTGGATCGCCCATTTACTTCGAGAATTGCATGCTTTACCATCGGACCGTCCTACGCTTCTCTGTGATAACAAAAGTGCCCTATTTATGACTCAGAACCCAATCTCACACAAACGTGCAAAACATATTGACTTGGATTATCACTTTATTCGGGAGCTTGTTAGCTCGGGTAAGTTATACACAAAGTTTGTTCCAACCAATCTTCAAGTGACCGATATCTTCACAAACAGTCTTCCGCGTGCACTCTTTGACAAATTTTGTGCAATGCTTCGTCTTGGACCGCCACCTTTTCGATTGAAAGGGGGTATTAGAGGATAATTTCTAGTATTTATTGTATTTATCTGTAAGCTAGTTTATCTCCTTTATCATAGGAGTAATTGTTGTAATCCTCTCTATATATTGTTATGTTATTATCAATACAAAGTAAGGTTGATTTTATTTATTGTTACAACATGGCATGATTTTCCGGCCTTCTAGCTAACATTTAACAACATCTACATGTTAGATCGTTTTAATGGGGTCTTAAAAGGAAGAGCACCTGATGGTAATTTTTTTTCTTAATGGTAACAATTATAATCTAAGATGCTACGTTACATATGGAGTTTATGTTAGTGGGCTTCTCTTCTCAAATCAATCTCCTTACCTCAAGGACCCGAAATATGTATTATTTGGCGAAGAAACAAAAGGCTATTAGAAAATTTTAATGAGAGCATTTGGGGTACTACAATCATGATCTTTTATTATTAGCTCGGCATTACGTATGTGGTGCAAGAAAGTAATTCGAGAAAATATTGAGACCATGTATAATTTTGTATAATATGATTGTAAAACGGTAACAAGATTCATATATTCGTCAATTTGATTACACTAATAAATGTTAGTTTTAATATATATGCTTTAAATTTAATATAGTTGTCATCTCAAGTATGCCATGTATCTTGGAAGTCTATAAATGATACATAACAAACTTAACATAATAAACGCAAACTGATTTGGAGACGAAGAAAATGATGATTAACGTATTGTTTGCTCTTAGATTTGTACTTTGTAATGTGTAAATTATTTAAATGTTTAGAAAGCAAATCAAATTAAATATTTATAAATCATTACAAATTTTAGTAATTATTTATTAATTAATTATAAATTACTACATGCGAGTTAATATTTTATACAGGATTTATTAGTTATACATAACCAAGTTTGTTAAAAATACATACATTAATTAGTTGATATGTTTATGAAAACCAAATCTGAAAAAATATATACAACTAGGAAACCATTGACCCAAGACCGAGAAAAATGGTCCATCATTCTAAGATTGCAAAAACTTTTGCTACAAATTCCTACAAAAAAAAATATTGATTTTTACAAAGAATTGATATGATTTTAGATAGAAAATCCCACCTCTTTTTAGCTCTTTTTAGCAAGGACATATATATGAAATAAGTTAATATTTCCTTTAAATATATATCACAAGTACAACACCATAAACACCAATTTAGCGTCTTTATTAATTTATGACGCATGTTACAAAGAAATTTTAACGTATTATCGCAATCCAATATAAGTTACAAATTAAGCATATTAATTGTTATCAAATTTCTGACAATTATAAATATATATAAATTCCCCACTATACTCATGCATGGATCATTAGTCTTACATTAAACAGGAACTAGAGGTTGTATGGTGGATTACTGCGGCAGCGCCACCACCACCACCGGTGGTTCCAAGAGCATTGGTGCATGAAACTTGAGCAGGTCGGTTATCGTAACTCAAGTTCACATCCTCCATTTTTATCCCACTGCATGGATGCTCCTTGCTGCAATCCAGTTTCACCCCAACATCTGTCGCTGATGTACCACGAATATCTTCATATAGAACATCAGAAATGGTGACGCCGGACAACTGATGAGGACAATCATCCTCACCTGGACAATAATTCTGATCAATTATCACCGGATTTTGAACTTGCACCATCGTTAAATCTTCAAACACAACTCCCTTTACGAACCCATTACTTTCCCTAGCCCATGTCTTGATCCTAACCCCATTCTCCGTTGATCTAAATGTCGCCGTTTTCAGCGTCACGTTCTGGACTCCGGCCTCCTTTGCAGTCCACCCTAAACTGCCGATGCTGACACCATGGCCAGGGCCACAGGTGATGCTTTGTATCCAGAGGTTAGATGAACCTGGTCCGATGGATACACAATCGTCTCCGGTGGCAATTCGGGAGTTGAGAACAGTGACGCCGGTGGAGAATTCAATGTGTATGCCGTCGGTGTTGGGACTGTTTCCAGGAGCAGATATCGTGATTCCTTGAAGATTAACATTTTGGCATCCGTCCATCACGATGTGGAACTTTTGGCTGTTTATGGAGCACAATCCATTGATCATGATGTCTCTTGAATTGAAGAACCCTAACGTCTGCAACATCCACACATATATTAATGATTATTTACTTATTTAGTAGCGGCAAGTAGAATTTAAATTAATAAACTCGGAAATGCATGAAACTTACGTTTGCACCGGTGGGACAAGAACTGGAAGAGGCTTTGCAAGCCCAGAGATTGGCTCCCCGACCATCTAAAGTTCCACCGGAGATAGAAACACCGGTGGCCTTTTCAAACTTAATCCAGACATCACTAGAGGATTTCCCGTAGTCTGTCGGAGCAAGGAGGGTGCCATCAATACGGAAGTTGATTGCTTTGTTACTACAGCGTTCGCCCTGGAAATAAGCTGATCGGATGAAAAACCTGCCGGAGGGGACGTAGATAGTGACTGGTTTAGATGAAGAACATGCAGAAGCCCATGCAGATTGAAATGGTAGGGTTGAGTCTGTTTTTCCGTCGGCTATTGCTCCCAAATTCACGATGTTTATGAGTCCTGGAACTGTTGTTGCTGCGGTTGTTGAACTGATGATAGAAGCAGCAGCTACAATAATGGCGGAAGTGATGATGATGTTGTAATCAACTCTCATCGCCATTATCATAAAATTCTCGGTAAGAATGGAAATGGAGCATGGATCGGAAATGTTTCGAGTAGAATTTATAGGAGAATTTTGAATAAAATAAGGTAGTTGGAATAAAGAATTTTTTTACAAAATCATCTACAAAAATAGGGCATTTTCTGTTTTTCTTTGCAAAAATACGGTGGTGGGCCACCGCATCACAAACCAAACCATTAGTTTATTCACAAACCTTTCAAATTTTCATTTTGAAACATTGTACCGTATATAATATTCCGTTTTCAATTTTTGTTATATATTGCAATGAGTCCATGATTCAAAAACTCATATGTGTTGAATGTAAATGAGTCGAAAATGTTTGATTATAGTGGAATCTAAATTTGTTATCATAATAATCTTGAATGATAATAGTTATTCAACTTTGATTGAAATATTTAAATGAAGTAGTAGTATATAAAATTACACTATCATAAAACTTGTGTTTTGTTTAAAAGGTTTTATAAGATGGTAAAGAAGTTATCTTTTAAAATATTTTTATATATTTTGGTTTATAGAAGTTTTTATATAAAATCAAGGTGTTAGCTTTTTGATGATTTTGAAAAACGTTTCTTTTATATTAAGGGGGTGTTTGACATTCCTTTTAAAACAACTTTTGGACTTTTAACTTTTCCAAAAAGTTAAAGAAGTCCAAAAGATTTTTTTTAACGGCAAGCTGGCATTAAAAGAAACCTAGCAAAGAGGCTAGGAAGTATAGAGTTTGAAAGGAAACAAGATGAAAAAACAAAACAAAACAGACAGAACAAAAAATTGACTATAGTCTAGAGTAACATTTAAGAACGGGATCACTACACCAGTCAACCCATCTGAGGGGTTCACCCTTCCGCTTCCTCGCATTAATCTAGCATACGGACATAGATTGTACCTCATAGGCCAGCACCGAGTGAGATTTGACACCCGAGGAATGTGCCTCCAAGTTCCGAAAGTTTCAAACCACCCATAAAAACACTAGCATAACTACTTCGTGAATGTTTGACAGCCTTTTGTGATCATTTAACAGTTTTTTACAATTTAGAAGACCCCCCATGGCATGAACATTTGAGTCCAACAATCGCCACCAACTAGATACTCTCTGCCAGACTTCTTTTGTTATCCCACATTCAACAAAAAGATGGTTCTCGGTTTCTGGAGCTTCACCACAGATCCTGCATGAGGTAGATGTTGCAATGCCAATTTTTGATAGATTAACCATTGTTGGAAGTCTCCCATGAATGATTCCATGCTAGAATATTTAATTTTCTGGGGATTAATGAATTCCACTGCCATTTCTCCTCAGATCGAGAGAGAATGGCCGTATCGATGCAGTTTCTCAAAGACGCTACTGAATATATCCCAGATGGCTCTATATCCCAACTTCAATTAACTGCTCCAGAAACATTAACATTGTTTACAAAATGGAAATGATCTGCGAAGGGGACATTATCCTTTTCGATGATTGTAGGAATGCTAGCAACTACACCCCAACATCCACTTTTCCTTCTAGCCACCGAGGGTCTAGTAAAACCACCATCAGCCCCAAAAGGGACTTTATTACTTCAGCCCATGGATTGTTAGGATTTACCTTGAAACGCCACCCCCACTTCCCCAACATAGAAATATTTTGGGCTTTCAAGCTGCCAATACCCAGACCACCACTCTCTTTAGATGCGGTAGTTTTATCCCATGCTATCCACGTGATTTTCCTTTTTTCCAAATCACCGCCCTAGAAGAATCTCATTATGATCTTCTCAAGAGTGTTGATCATTTTGATGGGTGCTCTAAACATGCAGAAATAGAAGGATCCTAGGCTACCTAGGACCACTTTACATAGGGTTAGACGCCCCCGAGGACAATGTGGAAGACTTCCATTTTGATAACTTTGCCTGAAATTTCTCAATCAGAGGGTTCCAATGCACAACTCTAGCCATGGACGTCCCCATTGGAAGACCAAGATAGGTAAAAGGTAGGGAACCAATGGAGCAATTTAAACACCCGACAACCAACTCTAGTTCATAGCTTTGAATACAGAAACCATACAGTTTACCTTTTAACATGTTTATTTTGAGACCAGATGCCAACTCAAAACATCGCAGGATGCGAATAAGATTTTTAGAATTTTCAATTGACCAAGAGACTAAGAAGATTACATCATCTGCGTACTGGAGATGAGATATGCTTGGGCCCTGGCATGGAAGTTTTATGCCTTCGAAGATAACTTTTTTCTTTTCCCTCTTCCATAGCGATATGTGACCCCCCCTACGCTGCAATGATAAAGAGAAAGGGAGATAGGGGATCAACCTGCCTAATTCCACGCTCCATGCAAAATTATGAGGTAGCAACTCCATTGATTAGAACTTAGATCCTAGCTGAGGAAAGGCTCCCATGAATCCATGATCGCTATTTAGTACCAAAATTCATCTGCTGAAAAATCGAGTCGAGATACTCCGAACTAAGGCTATCGAAAGCCTTTTCAAAATCGACCTTGAAAGTGAACGCCTTCTTTTTACTCTTCTTTAGCCATGATATCACTTCATTTAGGATGAGGGGGCATCAAGAATATACCGATCTTTTATGAAAGCTATTTGGGTCGGGATCACCACCAGATGGACTATTTTTTTTAACTTTTCTACGAGAACCTTTGCTATGGTTTTATACAAGAACCCGATTAAACTGATGGGCCGATAATCACTAATGGTGTTAGGGTCGTGTATTTTGGTAACCAGGGTAATAAACGATGAATTGCAACCTTTATCGATACACCCAGTCATTTCAAAGTATTTTATAGCAAAGTAAAAATCACTGCCAACAAGATCCCAAAATTTCTTAAGAAAAGCAAAGGAGAAACCGTCTGGGCCGGGAGCTCTGTCAGATCCACATGCCGAAATGGTCGATTTTATTTCATCCAAGGAGAACGGTTGCTCAAGGAACAATGCCATTTGCGGATATAGTTTTTTAAACTTAGGACTGATAAGTTTTGGTCTCGACCTCATAGGCTTTGAGTATCTCTCACAGAAATGGTTGACTACTAATTGTTTTATCGTTACTGGTTCGTTGATCCAAAATCCATTTACCTTGAGACCATTTATTCGTTTCACCCAGAGGTGTTTGATTATCATTCCATGGAAAAACCCACTGTTCTTGTCCCCGTCTAGCACCCATTTTACTCTAGACTTTTGTTTTTGTAACACCCCAATTTTCACGACCAAAAATTTCGTTTTTGATTAAGTAACTTATAAAATTGTTTACTGAAAAACATCATCGAATCATATCAATTCATAAAACCATTGTCATATGTCTCAACCATATCATCATAATAGTAAAAATGTCAGAGTACAATCCTATGGATCTCAAAATGCGGAAATCATATGTGTGCGATGCGTTGCTACCGTGACGGCTCCTTCCCCTTCGCTGAAGAGGTACCTGAAACAAAACTAAAAACTGTAAGCACGAAACTTAGTGAGTTCTGTTGGATTAATGTCTAAGTCCATAACTATATTTGGTATGTACTTGACCCGGTTATGCATGGTCCTTTTGGGTTGCCTTCACCAAAGCAACTTGACTGGAGGCATAATATAGAAAGAGGTGATTATGGTTTATTAATATATTATAAGAATAATATATTAAAAGAGAAATCATATTTGTTTAATTAATATTGGTAAATAATTAATTAAGAATTAGTTTTGTGATCAAAAGAAGTTAATTGAACTTAAGGGGCTGAACTGTAATTATGTGATAGTTACAAAGTAGGGCAAGGAAACCCTAATAGATAGGGTGGACGAATTCTAGGGATGAAGCCTAAAGAATTCATCCATAGGGATTCTAGAATTATCCTTGGGCTGCTTGGTGGCTAAGTAATCAGATAAGGATAACCATTGAAACCCTAATTCCTACACCTATATAAAGGACCCCTAGGCATGGGAATTTCGGCCACTTGAACCCTAGAAGTCCTAGAGCCGAAATTCTCTTCTCCTCTCTCTCTCTCTCTCTCTCTCTCTCTCTCTTGTTTCCTCCAATTGCTATTGGTGTTTGTGATTCATTAGAGGCACAACACTTGAGGTGCTAAGGTTCTCAAGGCTTTAAGATCTTCAATAAAAAAACAAGGTAATCATCTAGATTTGTTTACATATGTTAATTTCGAATATCATATGCTAGATCTAGGGTTTGAAAGTCTTGGATGAATGCATGTACAATAGAGAAACCTAGATCCAAGCATTACGGTTTGCATGAGCACATAGGATGTTCTTTTGGCTCAAACCCATCAAGTCCCCCCATCATACCACATACCATAAACATATACTACCTATCCCTCGGTATCTTTCAACCGGTATCTGACTGGCATAATCGGAAGCTGGACTTCCCTTCGGTATCTTTCAACCGGTAGCCGGGAGCTGACCTCCCCTTCGGTATCTTTCAACCGGTACCAAGGAGCTGACCTCCCCTTCAGTATCTTCCAACCGGTAACAGAGAGCTGACCTCACCTTCAGTATCTTTCAACCGATAATTGGGGACTATTTCACCCCTACCACTACCATATAATAACATATCATGAACATACTGCTAGGCATGCACAGGTACTGTCTACCCCTTCGGTATCTTTCAACCGGTATCCAGGGCTATTCCACCCCTTCTACTACTAACACATATAATAGAGCATCCTAGCACAATAGGGATGAGAGTGGGTCCAAACCCGGACCGGTAGACCCGGACCCGGAAAACCCGGGAACCGGTTAACGAGATTTTTTAGGACCGGAAACCGGACCGGTATATAGGAACCGGTTCCAGTTCGGTTCCGGGTAAGGTACCGGGTAAAGTGGGTCTAGAACCGGAAAACCCAGAAACATAAAAGTGGGTCGAATGGAACCGGGTAAATTGGGTCTAAAACCGAAAAACCCGGGGAACCAGGTAAAGTGGGTCGAATGCATGTTTTAAAATTTCACAAAATACAAAAATAAAGCTGAGAAAAAAAGAAAATTCGCACCTTTGATATC